TCTAGTTTGCTCTATGGGATTCCTTTGATATTCCTCTAATATTTCTATGATATTGCTCTACCTTTTACCCTGTTTCCGCCCTACCCCCTGTAATCAATAAAGTTCTCCTTTGTGACCGGTGTGGGAGACTTATTGAGGGGTGGGTCTAAATTATGCCTAGGAGGGCCCTTAGGTCTGCGGACTAAGGGAGACTTTCCTAATAAGCCCCTGACTTGGGGAAGTGCCCCAAGTGCCTGTATTGGGTCTGGTACCCATTGGACGATCGGGCCTGTGTTCTCCAAGGTGCGCAGAGCCAGAATTGAGTCCAGAGCCTTGGATGGTGGCAGCGGAAACCCCAGGCTAGCGAGTGTGCTCCAGGGAAGGGGTCGGCCGGACGGGAGGCACCCCAAGGGGGGCACTCAGAGCCTGGAAGGTGGTCGGGCGCAGCAAGGTGGGTGGCTCAACGCAGGAGCGCCCCCTACTGGCCTGCCACAAGCTGGTTTCCTAAGGGCATTACTACTGGCTCTGGGTGCATGCCACCACTGAGTCTCAGTGTGGGTGCAGGGGGACTATTGCCGTGCCTCAGTTCCCCCTTAATAACACTGACCTTGGGTGAAGTACCTTAGGACTGTGAGATGTCTGGCTCCTGCAGTGACAGATACAGCAACAGCAGGGGGAGGGCAGTTGCACAGAGGACAGGGGGGCACCAGCCTGTCTCTGAATAACCAGGAAGAGATGGAACCACTGAGACTGAGGCAGATTTCATCCCCAACAGTCAACGCACCCTTTGGGGTGTTTTTCTGGGGAAAGCTCCTGAGCCAGAGGGACTAATCATGGAGTCTCTGCAGAGTTGGGACTCAGCTCCTTGGGGGATTGCTCTCCACTGAGTAGAAAGCTGATGCTGGGTGTCAGGGGCTGCACAACAGGACAGGTGATCCCCTATGCCTAGGAAGCCTGTGCCTGCTCAGACTAGCAGGTGGGCAAAGGAGGCTCAAGTTGCCACTTATTGGGCCAGGGCTGACAAGAGTGGGAGATTTGGAGCCTGCAGGAAACAGCAACGCTGGGCAGGACAGCAGTTCCCGGGCTCAGGGAGCAGATCAGTCTAATCTCTAATGGCCAACAGTCCCTATGCAAACAGCAGCACCAGCAGCACTGGGATAGTGGAGGGCTGCGGGTCAGGACTGAACTGTGGTGAGGCAGGAGACTGCCCACACAGTACCCACCCCACCTACCCCTCCTCTGCATCCCTGTCTCTCATCCCCATCCCCCCCCACACCTCCGCCCCGCTGGTGTCCGACTGTCAATTCAGGCCTCAAGTGCTGGTGCATCACGCAGAGTAATGAGAGCCTGGGGGTTTCTTAGTCCCTGGGCTGGCTGGGGGGGCAGAAGGGAATGCTTCAGTGAGGGATCTGGCAGGGAAAGTGTGCCTTGCCAGAAGAGGAATGAACTGGTTCGGCCCAGCCATCACCAAGGGAAGGGCAGGAGCTGGACCACACTTCAGATTTGACAATATACAGGTAGCTTGACATGGCTGTGGGAGGAGCAGAGTTTTAGCAAGGGGCATGGGAGCCCTGGCACCAGACAGTGCCCTGATGGCCATGGCAGTGCTAGGTGCGAACTAGATACTGATCTGTGCCAGGGGTGCCACCGAGCACTCAGGGCCACTGCCCCCCGGCTGGAGCACACCTCCTCCATGATGGATGGGGCCAGGGAAGGGAGTGGTGGTCACACGCTCCCTGGCAGAGAACTAGCAGGCAGCTGTACTCACAGCCTCTCAGACATTGCTTCATTAATGTGCCACTTCCTCCTCCAGTCCCCAGTTCCCCATGCTCCCCCCACCCTTGTAGCTTCACCATGGAATCTAACTATCAGCTTCTGTCTTCCACCCCAGAGGTGGCTGCATGTCAGTGCAGGGTCCTTTGGTAACCAATGCACACAGTGCCTTGGGGCATGGCTTGGAGCAAACACCTTTCCTGAAGTCTCTCCAACCTGGGTTGTTCCCAGCTGGAGCTGGCTGGGACCTTAGGCAGGGGGGAGTGAGTGCAGGCTAGAACTCAGATCTCCCTTGCTGTGTCCCAGACCCTCCCAGTAGCTGTCTGCTTCAGGGTGGTACCCTTCTCCCATGCACCCAACTGATTCAAGCAGGCCCCCCTCCCCCCTGAGTACTGGTGCATTCGCCATGCCCCATTTGTCACCTCCTGAACTTTCTGAGGAGCCCTTGGCTGACTCCTCCTGCTAAATTTATCTGGGTGCAGGTCATGCTGTCCTGAGACACCATGGAATCAGGAGCTGGGCATGGCCCAGCTTGCCATCTGTTTGCAGCAATGGAGCAGGGTCCTAGCTCCCTGGCAGGAGGAGAGGGAGATTTTGGAGGGACTCCGCTCCTGACTGCAGCCCAGTGCCCTCTGTGCTATGCTCTGGTTACCCAGCCCTGCTGTCAGCCTGGTTCTCAGCCAGGTGAGATGCCCTGAAAGGGGAATCGCTAGCTTGGGGAACCACAGAAACTACAATGGGGTGCCAGAAAGAGGAAGAGTGTGCCTTTCCCTGCACTTGGCAGAGACATATCCCCCCTCTCCCCAGCGTGCCCAGCGCTGCCTGGCTCCTATCTGTCTTGACACTGCTGGGGAGCCAGGATTCTGGCCTGACCCACCACTGCCCCCCTGCAGGACACAAAGTGGACATGTCTGAGGCATATGCTGCCCTGGGCATTAGAAGGGGTTGGCGGAGTCTGTGGCTGGCAAGGGGAAGGGAAGGGAGTGGGGAATAGGGCAGGGGAGGAAGCACTCACGTGGTCTTCTCCTCCAGGTTGAGGAAGGTCTGGATCACCAGAGGCACTTCAGATTTCACAATGTACAAGTAGCTTGACATGGCTGTAGGAAGAGCAGAGCATGAGCACGGGTCATGGAAGCCCAGACAGTGCCCTGATGGCCATGGCAGTGCCTGATGCTTCCTCGGGAAAGTGGAGAGCCAGACAGTGATCTGTGCCTGGGCTGCTGGCTAGCACTCAGCCCTTCCATCTCCCCACCCCAGGAAAGGGCAGTGCTCCTGACTATGACTCCTGGCTGTAGGCTGAAAGGGGTCTGCATGCAATCTGCTGTACAGATCTCATCTGGGTGCCCATTCCCCTCTCACCTCCAATGTTCTGTAGTGTTATTGCCATGGCAGCTGCCAGCTTCCCGGGTGTCCCGAAGGCGCGATAGCCCAGCTGCTCATAGGCTCGGATCCCTGTGGGACAGACACGATCCTCGGTGAGAACAGAGGCAGGGGGCAGGGAGAGGTCTCAGAGCAACTGATATTGGCACTGGAGCAACTAGGTGAGGGACCAGAAACCTAGTCCTGGCAGCACCATCCACAGGGCAGTTGCTAGGGAGTCATGCTGGCAGGGGATGTGGGACATGTCAGCATTAGCATCCCCTTCACCCTGCTACAGCCCCAGGCACCTGCAGCATGGATGCTGGTGTGTCCTCCAGGGAAGCCAGTCACAGCTGGTGAATCTGGTGTGACTGATGATCAGTTCGTTCCTGCCTGTCCTCCATGCCCCTGAGACCTCATCTACTGCCTGAAGTCCGAGAGCTACCCGATCTTCCTTGGATCTCAGTCTCATTAACCCACTGCTAAGAGTATCCAGCAGGCCCCAGTTTCCACCATGCTGTGTCTCTGGGTTAGGAGAAGGAACCCCCATGACTAAGGCTGGTTCCGTATTCCTCTTCCCCTATGGTAACAGACAGTAAACACCAAGGAGCATAGTAGCAGAGCTCTTGGGACCTCAGTGCACCCCCCAGCTAGAGGCCCCTAGCAGTGACAGTGCACAGCCTCCCCTCTGCTGCACCCTCCAGTGGGGTGCCCTTAATACATCTTGCTGAATTGGAGGTGTAGCTATGGGAGGTGGAAGGAGCAATTGCCCTAGGCTGCCATTCGCCGGAGGCACCTGAATGCTCACATCACAGGGAAGGTCCCACAAGGCAGGGCACCCCTGCAGGGGAAGCCCCTTCAGGACTGCACCACCCCCATGCTGAATGTATTCCCTGTAGTCTGGCCTCAAGGTGCCCATGTCAGTCACGCCAACCTTGGGCTGGATAAGAAGTGTGCAGAGGACACAGGTATTTTTAACCTCTATGTAGGGTCATCTCTGATCACACACTCTGGGGGAGGAGCCTATGAGCTATTAAAGCACAGGCAAGGGGTGCAGAGAGACAAGCAAAGCTGAGAAGCAGAAGGGAACACTCCTCCTGGCTCTGGGATGGTGGGCCCAGAGTTTGTTCCCCGTCCCCCACCAGCTATTTTGCAGGAGGACTTACCCACAATGCCTGAGGACTTCAGCAGCAGGTGGATGGAATAGCTGGAGAGCAAGGCCACTGCAGTCAGGAGGAAGCTGCAATGAGAAGGGGAGGTGGGTGGAGCCAGCAGCAGGGTCTGAGGAGGCCACAGCAGGGCAGATGGAGGGCTCAGCAGCTCCAGCACATTAGGGAGCCCTGGGGAGTTTCCAAGGGTTCGATTTTCCGAGGCACGGAGCAGCTGCCCCCTTCCCCACCATGATTTGGAAGGGCAACCCTGCATGCAAATCAATGCTCCAATCCTTGGTTGCTCCTTCACCAGTTTCCCCTTCAGGAACAGGTGCAGGACTATGTTTATAGATATTCCATAAAAAACAAGGCTAAAAACACCTGTCTGTAAAGTCTGTAAAAAAATGGAGCCATCTAAGCAATCAAGAGCTTGATAGATAGAGCAGAACAGAGCAGCACTACCCGGTGCTTGAGCAGAACTGTAGCACCCTGCAGGAAGTATAGCCCTCTCCCCTCCACCCATGTGCTTCTGTATCCTGTTGCCTGCCTGTATGTAACACTGCTGGGTTGCAGTTAGGCAGACAGTAGTCCTTCTTTGTGAATCCATGATGGGACAGGGGCCAGTGAGGGTAAACCAGCGGGGTGAACCGGTGAGGGCAATAAGATACAGGGTGTAGCCAGCAGCTTCAGGGCATGAGGTAGTAGGGAACCCTTGGGTTAGGGGCAGCACAGTGTAAAACCATTGCTGCAATCAAGCAGGTTTGCCAACCCAAAAACATTTTTTACTGATAATCTGCAAACTTTTTACTAACAACCAAACTTTTTTACTATGGTTGTTATTAAACCCCTACATTTGAACCCAGTTCTTGTCCAGGGCCTGGCAAAAGGATTACATTTGCATTAGGTAAAACATAAAACATGTCAGTAAAAAAGTTTGGTTGTCAGTAAAAAGTTTGGAGATTCTCAGTGAAAACATTTGTCTTGGGTTGGCAACCTGGGGTGTTAGTGACATGGGAACAGCCAGAAGTAAAGGGCCCAGCTTGCCCCTCATGCCAGAGTAAACTACAACCCACCACTCTTCCCCAGCCCCAGCCAGCCCAGCCCAGCCCACCGCAGGTCTCACGGCCAGAGAGCAGTCTGTGCTGACAAGAGGGTCTTCACCTGCACTCAGTGCTAGAAAAGAGAGCAGCAAATCTTCTGACTCATCAGCATTGGGAAGTCTACTAAATAATTGGTACCAGTGAAACTGCTGGCTAATCAGAATCTGAATCTCTTGACTGAACATTGTCAAAGAATCAGCTAATCACATTTTGGTTCCTGGGCCCTACCCACATCCTTGGTGTGATGGAAGACAGTGGGGGCAGGGAGTTTGTTTTGGAAGTGTTTATTTGCCCTATACCAGGGGTTTTCAACCTTTTTTTTAACAAGTGTACCCCTTCTGTCTCAAAGTTTTAGCTCATGTACCCCTTTATATTTTGTTCTTGTTTTAAATGTTATCAATTATGTGATATAAGGCAGGCTACACTAATTAATATTAAATGCATTATTAATATATGCATTAAATATATATATCATAGTTCGGCTGGTAAGTCTGTTATGAGGGAAGGGGCGTGGGGTGGCGGGCAGATCGAGGACCCCGAAGTGAGGGACGGAGTGGGGCTGAGGCAGGGGCAGGCACTGCCCAGCCAGGGCGGGGTGCAGGATGGAGCTGTGAGCAGCTTATCCAGGAGGTGTGGGGTCGGGGTGGCTCCCACCGCTACACGCACCTTGGGAGGGCATGGGAAGTGTGTGCCCCCAGATCTGCACATGGGGCAAGGGTGGGCTGTCACTGTGAGCTGGAGCCGGGGCAGCACTGGGCTCTTCCTGGCAGGGGGGTTGGGCCAGGCCTGCGCTCGGGGTGGGCAGCAGTAGTGGTGAGAAGGGAACTATGGGGGTCATGGTTACAGCCACCCCAAAATTCATCATAGCCCCTGCTCCCAGTGCCACCGCTGGCTCCCACCCTGAGCACAACCCCATCCCTGCCCCCGCTCCGGGAAGAGCCTGGCACTACCCCAGCCCACAGCGGCAGCCTGCCCTTGCCCATGCACAGATCCGGGGCACACGCTCCCATGCCCTCCCAGGGTGTGTGCAGTGTTGGGGGTTGTCCCTTCCCCACACCTTCCATCCCCCGCTCCGCCCTGGCAGCTCCATCCCCCGCTCCGCCCTGGCTGTGCAGTGCCTACCCCTGCCCCAGCCCCACTCCCTCCCTCACCATGGGGGCCTCGATCTGCCCCCAGCCCTCATGCCCCTTCCCTCACAATAGACTTACCAGCTGGACCTTGCTGCTCTCCACACTGCGGGGTTGCACTCCTGGCCACCTGCATGCTGCGCTGCAGCTGCATGCGTGTACAGGGCTTTTATCGGCCATATCAGCCAAAAAAAGCCGACTGCCGATACAATCAATTTTCCTTATATCGGTGCACCTCTAGTAATTTTTTCTCACTCGTTCTGCGTACCCCCTACAATGTTTTTAAATACTCCTAGGGGTACGCACACCCCCGGTGTGCATAACTTGGTAACCCAGACCTAGCTTGGTCCAGCTTACACCAGTGGAGTTTTTTACTGGTATAAAAGTGATTCATCTATCCAGGCCCACTAAAAATTCAACTTCTTGCCTCTTCATTGCTCTGTGATCTCCCAGGACCGGGGTGCTCTTTCTGGGTTGCATCTGGCGGTCACAGGAGGAGCTGCTCCTCTATGTTGCTTCCCAGTCAGCTCCTCAAACCAGTCTGTGGCTTTGCTCCTAACCTCCCAAGCGAAGAATGGACAAAGTGCCCAGCTATATCAAAGACTGAGTTATCTGTGTGCCATTGTGGCAGGCTGCTCCTCAGGGACAATGAAGTCCTGGGTTGAAGAAATCCAGATGTGGGGCAAACTGAGATCAGACAAACCTGCCTCTCCACCAAGGCCCATTCATCATCATCAGAACTCTCGCAGCTGACACCTAGTTCTCCACAATAAACCCCTCCCCATCACCCACTCAGGAACATCCTGTGTGAAATTAAATCTGTTGTGGACAATGCGAATTAACATAAAAAAACAAAGGAAAAATATCAAATCTGCAAACCTTACCCCCAGCAGAATTCTGGCCCCATAAAGGGATCACCGCTAGAGACACCATGACAACCACTAGGTCTTTGGATCTTGCTATTCATATTACATGGAAGGTGTGCAGATGCTCTGGTGAATGGCAGCAGGGTAAAACCTGGAGGAAGGGTGCTCCAGGATGGTGGTGGTGTGAGGTTGTCCCAGCTGTCTTCCCTCCCTGTTCCCAACAAGAATGAAGGAATTGTTGCTTTGAGATGTCATTAGCCACAGGGATATTTGTTTGTTCTCCTGCATGTTGTTCTCCTGTTTATGCTCATTCCACATCCCAGCTCTCCATGTTTGCTTTGGAACAGCCCCAGTTTCCTCTGGGTCCAACAGAGCACTCAAGGCTTTGTCAAAGGAACTGCAGGCCACGGGGAAAGGGTCCCCCCCACTGTGATGGAGTCATTGATGGGCTCCACATTAGCAGCTGCTCTGGGAGGAGAGCTGAGCTACAGAGGGAGGTTACAACCCCGTGAGCCAGAACAATCTGCCCTGCAGTTTCCTGAAGAATCCTGTAGCCTTTATCAACATGAGGATCTGCCAAACTCTCACTGTGATGTAGGGGATCATGAGGTTAAACAGCCCCCAAACAGCCAACATATGCACCCAAATGGGCATTGCAGTGATCACAGGATGTTACATCGTTGTCTGATAATGGGTCACCTCCCCCAGCACAGTCCAGCTCTCAGTAACCTGGGGACCCTTGTGCTTCAGGGTGACAGCCATGGAAATCAGGTCCAGTGCTCTGACAGCAAGATCGCTCCTGAGGCCTCTGTTGATGTGCATATAATCAGTGCTAGGGAAAGCAGCACAAGGAGCTTATAGCTTTTATATTGGGAGGATACAGAAGACATGCTGGGTTGAAAGAGATGCAGCAGTGAGAGGTTGGCTCTGAGCTCTCATACTTCCATGGGCATTGACAGTGTACTGCAAAATTCTCCACAGGGTACTGTGCTAGACACTGGCACTTAGCTGAGTGTGGTGAGGATGTCCCACTCTGACACCATGGAAGTACTGGCAGTTGGAAGCTGACAAATATTTGGCATTGAAACTTCCCAGTATGGACCTGGCTTCAGGCCATAGAACAAGCTCTTAAGGGAAGTGGTGAGAACCTGGGGTTTTTAAACAGCAGATGGGACAAATCAGCTGCAAAATAACTGGTTCTGGTGAGCTTGAGTGGAGGTGGAGGAAGGGCAATCAACAAGGGGGAAAGACTACTCCACCTCTTGTATGATGTACTCAGTGCCAACCCCTTGACTTTAGGACAGTTGGTAGCTCTTGGGGGAGCCTGCAGTTGGTAAACCAGTGTAATGATGTGCCTCACTGGACATGGAAAGACAAACACATACCCTGCAGTAACTTAATATCATTTTTGTATAATAATGTACACTACATCAGGATCAGGACTGGCACATGAGAAGCTACTCTGGGGTAGCTCACATAGTAGGTGATTGTTACTATGCCTTGCTAATAGGCAGTGGTAGAGAAGGTAACGACCTGTTTGCCATCTCCAGAAGGCTTTCCCAGGATAGATGTATACAGACAGACCTAACTTGGTCCAACTTACACCAGTGCAGTTTTTTACTGGTATAATAGTGATTCATCTATCCAGGCCCACTAAAAAAACCTGTGTCTGCTTTTACAGTGCTATAGAGAAATGCTTACAAGGAAGATTAGGAGCAGGGGTTGGCAACATTTTTAGGCCAAGTGCCAAAAAACCTTGCAACCTGGACTTCAAAAGTGTTGGTGTTATGGGGCAGCCAGATGGGGAGCCATGAGGGCCCCAATCCTTATCCTGGCAGCTCAGCCCTGGTGGTCCCTTCCCCACCATGCTCACTGAGGTATGTGTGCCGCTGCCACTGGCACTGAGCCTAGCCAGGACTCCAGACCGCTTCCTGCTGGTAGCAGCCCAACTCTGGGCAGGCCCCTGCTGCCTGCCACGGAGCCTGGACTGCTCACA